TTTTTTAATTTTTTTGAAATTAATGGAAGAGTTAGCTAAGAAAATCTTTTCAGCTGCTTTTGAATAAGGTTGAAAGTTCACTAGCTCCATCCCCGGATAAAAAAGGCACAGAGTTTGTGACGGGTGCGACGAACAGGGTCATAGACCAGCACTTAGTTCAACTAGGGGTGACAAAGCTAAGGGGAGCTGGCTGCCATCAAGAACTTTAAGACTCAGGCTTTTTCTTATACTTCAGATGCTCACGGCAGCCGAACAATTCCCAGTTTGTCCAAGGGGCGGATCGATAAAATGAAAAAGTCCGGGTTCAGAGTTCGACCCACCGAGGACGGTCCGTCCTTCCCCGGCCGGTATCAGCGTCGAACGAAGGTTTCTCCGCGATCAAGATCTTCAAAATATAGCCGGATGATTTTTTCCTAGATAAGAAATTAGAATACACATTGAATCCAAAGGAGCCACAATGGAAGAAACGTGAGGCAATTAAGATAACCACGTATCTTTTAAAGTTTCAATTTTTTTTTCAAATAGCACTGCGAGGTGTAAGACAATAGAAGTTTTACTGCTCACTCGTAACAATTACATTAGCATGAAAAAACAACTTTTCTTTAGATTAGATCACTCTTTCAATGAAAGCGTCTTTAATCCATATTGATACATCTTTAATGCAATATCTATACATCGATCTATACATATAATCCATCTCCGAAAGTTTTTGGTTCTATACGTCCAAACATTTTGCCTTTTATATGCATATATGATCATTCATTGAATTTTTAACCTGTTGGATTATGCTCAATTAATTATACACAATTTTTTCGAAATGAAAAATTTGGGTCACAAGCGGGATTCGAACCAACGACTTTCGGCCAAATACGCCGCTGCTCTATCACTTGAGCTACCGTGACTTCGTTCGCCCATGCCACAAACTTCTCATTTCTACTCCACGTTTTATTCCAATTGTAAGGAAATCGCGGCTTCATATAGAAACACATTTTATTAACGATTGCACTACATTAGCTTACAATTGGAATAAAACGGGGAGTCGAAATGAGAAGTTTCTGGCATGGGCGAACGAAGTCACTGTAGCTCAAGTGATAGAGCAGCGGCGTATTTGACCGAAAGTCGTTGGTTCGAATCCCGCCTGTGACAAAAATTTTTCATTTCGAAAAAATTGTGTATAATTAATTGAGTATTTATATAATTAAGCATAAGCTGATAAAATCGTTAAAAAAACTTAAACTCGCTAATTTCGTGGTCCGCTTGACCAATTAGTATATTACAATTAATTAAGGTTTTTAGTTGAGATAAAAAAGTCAATGGCACGAGCGGGATTCGAACCCACGATCTTCGGCTTGATACGCCACTGCTCTACCACTTGAGCTATCATGACCCGATCCAATCGGACACCAACTTCCTTGAAAAATGGCAAAAAGGAGGAAAAATTCAAAAAGGTTCGGTTGAGATGGGAAGTTGGTGTCCGAGTGGATCGAGGTCACGTTAGCTCAAGTGGTTGAGCAGCGGCTATCAAGCCGAAGATCGTGGGTTCGAATCCCGCTCGTGCCATTGACTTTTTTATCTCAACTAAAAACCATAATTAATTGTAACATATCAATTGGTCAAGCGGACCACGAAATTAGTGAATTTAATGATTAAAAATGAAGTATACTTCACTAAAGCTCTCCGTGGCCATTTCATTTGTCGTCGAGAATTCAATCCGATTACACATTTGAAAAATGGTAAAAAGGAGGGAAAATTCAAAAAGGTGCGGTTGAGATGGGAAGTTGGTGTCCGAGTGGATCGAGGTCACGATAGCTCAAGTGGTAGAGCAGCGGCGTATCAAGCCGAAGATCGTGGGTTCGAATCCCGCTCGTGCCATTGACTTTTTTATCTCAACTAAAAACCTTAATTAATCGTTAACAAAACTGTTGCATTATCTCTGAATCAAGGACAGTAATATTACCGAACTAGAATTGTGATCATTTACACTGTTGATAATTGTTATGTAAAAATTCGGGTATTTTTAATATCATAAAAATGAAAGGTAGCAGCAGATTGGTCAATAAGCCTTCCGTATTGTTATAAAACCGTTAGTGTTGATTAGATGCTTGATTTGATACAGAGCAAACTGTACAATTAGCTTAAATCTTAGGCTGTTACACAGTGTACACTAATTAAAAGTGTTCTTGTTTGTTTTCTTAACTAGTTTTTAGTAAATATGTTAATTTTTGTGCAAAGAAGGTTGAGATGAAAAATTAATGTGACGTGCGAAACTCGAACCCACGACCTCGACGAATATTGGCGGTAAAAGAGGGAAGTCACGATAACTCAAGTGGTCAACGGGGTGTAAAGCCGGAGGTCGTAGGTTCGAGTCTTCTTTTTATTTTAATTAAACTACATTGGTCATCACTAGGGCTGCTTTTTATAAAAACAGACAAATATATGTAAATATATTTGGTAAAAAATACAATTTAAAACTGAAAATATGCGAAAACTACCATGAGAAAAAATAAGGAAACCCAAATTAAAGCACATAATTGTATTGAAATGGGAAACAGTGGCTAATATTAAAAAAAGAAAAACGCATTAAAAAAAGTTAAATTTAAAAAATCCGTTGTCTCATCCATCGAGACCCAAATCGGTCCATTTTCGATGAAGTCTCTGATTTTATGGAGTGTTTCATTGTATATAAGATCCAGGTGAGATTTCCTGAGATTTCGTGGGGAATGGTTTTCCCTGTGTATTTCTCAAAAAACCTTTGAATTTAGGGTGGCTTACTTGATGGGTATATCAGGTCTAACTAAAGCACGACATAAATCGGTATCGAAACCTGATTTTCCAGACCTAGCACTTGTGGTAGTTTGTGTCACAAAGGTTTGTTGAAACGTAGACTTCCTGACTTTGTTTTCTTTTTGTTTTGCTGTCTTTATGTGCTGTGTTATCAAAAAACGTGTTGCTGTTGATACAGGTTTATCACAACTAACACAGTAACGTCTGCACTGACCTTAAATGTCTCAGTTGAAAACTCACGCACATACTTTTGAACAATTTCTTTCGTCTTTGCGGTGACTTTCAGCATTTTAGGAGAAATCAGTTCACAACACACAAATAATGTTTCCCGTAGGAAAACGCATGAGAGACTGGATAAAACTGAGAAGTGTGACTGTTTGGAAAGAAGAGAACTGAGGTCGTAATATTTCCAATCCAATTAAACTATTCCAAGAGAACATTTACAGTGGTACAAACACTTTCCTTTCTCCATTTATTCCAAGAGACGCAAAGGCGACCGAAAGTTTGCGGAAAGCGGTGGAGCAGCAACTGAACAAACACAAATTCGTTCATTGTGTGGAAACGGAAGACTGGGAGCCCTTAGCTCTTTTTCGGAGAATTTTTCTTCTTTTGCCTGCTCAGTAACATTAAAATTTGACATGCCAAATACCGATATGCCGGATATGTAAAAAAATATGCAATTACAACTCATGCAAAAATATGCATTTATGGCAATATATGCATAAATATGCAAAATAAATATAGCTTAAATTAATTCCCAATGGTTCAAAACATATACAGTTTGTTAAAACAGGATGTTTTAGTTAACCAGGAAAAATATGCAAATGCATATATCACAGCCCTAGTCATCACCAGCCCTCTCTTCCTTAGTTTCACATTAATTTTATTATCTTTCTCGCGTTTTAACCCTTCTAATTTCATTTTCTGTTCCTCCAGCTAAGTTACGATATTTTATGGTTCAACTGTAACCAACTATCATTTCTCTTCGTCCTATTGCTAGCCTATCTTACATCAGGGTCTCGTCAATTGTGGATAAATAACACAAATAAAAACACAAATACACAGAAACAAGGTAAAAACGCGATAGACTGATTAGCATTCACACTACCCAAGAGTTCTCTATATTCCTCGGGCTAATTTAGCATACGCCTTTTCATTCACGCTAATAAATTACATTCACTTCACGTAATTTTATTAGAGTGAATGAAAGGGCATATGCTCAATTACCCCGAGGAGTGTAGAGTACTCTGGGATGGTGTGAATGTAATTTATTAGCGTGAATGAAATGGCATATGCTCAATCCCAGAGTACTCTACATTCCTCGGGCTAATTGAGCACATGCCCTTTCATTCACGCTAATAAATTACATTCACACCAACCCAGAATACTCGATATTCCTCGAGGTAATTGGGAGTAACCCCTTTATTCACATTAATGTAAAATAATAGAAGTTTGTCTTTAAAAAAGTTAAAATTGATTTATTGTTATTTATTACCTTCGCTACATTTAGGTTCGTGGGTTTCATTTGATATCAAATATCTTCAACTGAGAGGTGAGGTCAAAAGATCAAAGATAATATTAATTTGGCTTAAAAAGAAGAAGAAAAATGTTAAGGATAATATAAATGCAATTTACTTATATAATATTTTTTATTTAAATAAATAAATGTTAAATACAGTGTTTTATCACAGAAAGCTCCTTAATTAATAACAGCTTGGGAAGATGATCAATAATATTTTACAAATCTTAGAAGCAAATATATAAATATAATCAAATTGTCTTAAAAATTAAAAAAATATGAAAAATTACTTTCAATTCCTTTTAAATTTTTATAGTTGGCAAAATTGGCATACATTGACAGGTGCTAAAAGGCCAAATAGATGTAAATAAGTCAGCAGAATAAGAAAAAAATATTAACTTATCCAGCAAGAGTCTGATGTGAATTTTCGTTGTCGGTGGGATCAGCTTTGTTTAGTTAACCTATATTATCTATTGCAAAATACAATATTATTAATTTTTAATTAATAATGGTATAATTCTTTATAGCCGACCTGTTTTTTATATTAAAAATGCCAATCCAGAAACTACTGAACATAATATACTTTAAATGGAATCAAGAGCAATTTTTCAATAAAAATAATAAACTAATGAAATGCGATACTTTACTGGTCGGTCGGGTAAAACTGAGAGATGACTTTTTAAATAAGAGATTTAAAAAAAAAAGAATCTCTAGTTGAAGCGACCGACCACAAGGACAGTTCGGATTCCGACGATTTCGATCTATTCACCACCAAAATACAAGGTCGAAGACCACCGGACATCCTCGGGTCAGTGGTTAAGAATACAGGCCGTAAGGATGTCGCTGTAAGTACTTCCTCCTGTGCCTGATGAGGAGGAGCAGCGTGGCCAAAACGGCGATGAGGAAGAGCGCACCGAGGGTGGCGAAAATCAAGGCCACCCTCGGCCCAGACAAGCAGATCCAACCCTCGTTCCCGTTCAAAGCTGAAACAACATTTAATAAACTATAATTGATATAATGCTTTGAAATCTGTGAAGTTTGAAAATTATTATAATTTCACTTATTTCGTGATCCGCTTGACCAATTAAATCATTACAATTAATTAAGGTTTTTAGTTGAGATGAAAAAAAGCTAATGGCATGAGAGGGATTCGAACCCACGACCTTCGGCTAGATACGAGGCTGCTCTACCACCTGAGCTATCGTGACCTGAGTGGATGAGTGATGTCCGAGTGGATCGAGGTCACGATAGCTCAGGTGGTAGAGCAGCGGCGTATGTAGCCGAAGGTCGTGGGTTCGACTCCCTCTCGTGCCATTAGCTTTTTTTCATCTCAACTAAAAACCTTAATTAATTGTAATTATTATAATGTTAATTTGGATAATTTAGACTAAAATGATAGACCGAATAATAACGGAGTAAGTGGATCATAAAAACCTTGAGTATGTGATGAATAAAAAATTATAAATATCAGATAAATAACTAATATCAGCGATAAATTGATAACAATCTAAGATGTAGATTAGTTTATTATTATTCCTTCGCAGATCCAACCATCTAGGGATCATCTTTGTCGTTCATATCTGATCTTGTTCAGAGTTTTAAGGTCAGATATATCCCAATAGATGTTAATCTTAAATTATCGATAGATTAAAGATTAAAACTAACTAACGACTTAATATTGGATATTACAATTCAAAAGTATATGAATTTACAAAATCCGATCTCCACAAAAGAATATTCGCTTCGGTGGACAAGCCAATGGACAGTGATGGGCAAAAAAGGAGCATGGTAATTTAAAAGAATCGCCGATAAGGCGAGGGTTCGATGTAATTTAAAGTACTTGACATCATTTCCTGTCAGTTCGCACGAAATTCACATTGGCGCCGCTAATTTTAATGATAAAACGACCAAGGGTCAAAATCAACGTCGCGAACTCGGCGTGTTGGTTAATTTCGTTCAAATTAATTTTTACTTATGCTACGGGGTACTACGAACTAGAGAAATTGCAAAAATCTTTCATAAAAAGTGGCAAAACAGCCGCTCCAAGCATAAGTCGATGCGTGTTGTGTAAAATGAGGAGTACAAGTCCATCTATGCCAAATCCATCACAAATCATCCCATGGATGAGAAACTGACGTGGAGTGAACATATAAAGAAAAATTGTCTGCTGTACCAAGTCGGATGTTTGCATCGAAACATCTTTTAGCATGCCATTCCGCTGCATAATAAGCGACTAATGCACATGATACTCTTCGCCCGATCTGGCAATACTCTTGCGAAACATCGGACTTCGATTACCAACTAAAAAAAATGGAGATGGTCCAAAATGTAATACGAAGGCTTAGAACATTTCCCTGGTGTGTGACATATAATAAGGTTTACCGATCTGGAACTTTCAGATATCAAGGGTGGACCCACCACCAGACGTTTCAGACTGGAAAAAACTTCAAGAAAATCTAACACTTATGCTGCAAATCATCACTGTGGACCGTATTTATAAAAATGTTAATAATTATTAAATCGATTAGGTTTCATGGTCGGATTGCCTAAATAAATTCTTTTCAATTAATTAACCTTTAATAAGGTATTGGTTGAGATAAAAAAGTCAGAGTCAGGAGCGGGATTCGAACCCACGACCTTTGGCAAAATACGCCGCTGCTCTACCACTTGAGCTATAGTGACCTCGATCCACTCAGACATCAACTTCCTATCTCAACCCCACCATTTGAATTTTCCCTCCTTTTTGCCGTTTTTCAAATGCCGCGTAATCTATTTGATTCTCGGCGACAAATAAAATCGCCACGGCGAGCTTTAGTGAAGTACACTTCACTTTGGTTATTAAATTCATTAGATTTCATGGTCAGATTGAGTAAATAAATTCTTTTCAATTAATTAATCTTTAAGTAAGGTACTGGTTGAGATAAATTTGTCGCGAACACTTCTTGGTGGTGTGGGACCTGTACTATGGTCGTTTTTGATCATTTTGGACTGTCAGAAGCGTTTCGGCTTCTCGCCATCTTCAGGGATATAAACCAATGCAAGGTTTCAACATAGACCAAGCGTTGAAGATGACGAGTTCTGTACAATACAAAACACCTTTGTGAGATTTCGTCTTGGGATGTTGAAACTGTAGTACTGTTTTCGATCATTTTTGGCTATTGGCAGTGTTTACGTTTCTCGTCATCATCAGAGATATAAAGCAAGGTGAGCTACAACATAGACCAAGCGTTGAAAACGGCTAGTTCCATACAATACGAAAACATCCTTGAGAGATTTTCTCTTGGCGGTGTGGGGCCTGTAGTATGGTCGTTTTTGATCATTTTGGGCTACCAGAAGCGTTTCGGCTTCTCGCCATCTTCAGGGATATAAACCAATGCAAGGTTTCAACATAGAGCAAGCGTTGAAAATGACGAGTTCTGTACAATACAAAACACCTTTGTGAGATTTCGTCTTGGGATGTTCAAACTGTAGTATTGTAGTTTTTGGAACCGTTGAATAAAAACACCGATTTTTGAAAGATCATGGAAAACAAAAGATTTTAGCTAAACATCGAAATTAAGTCAATTTTTGAAAAATGGCACAAAGAGGGAAAAGTCGAACGGTTGTAGGTTGAGATGTGGAGTTGGTGTCCGAGTGGACCGGAGTCACGTTAGAGCAGCGGCGTATTTAGCCGAAAGTCGTGGGTTCGAATCCCGCTCGTGACACCAACTTTTTCATTTCAACCAAAACCTTACATAAAAAGATTAATTAACAATTAAAATTAAGGGTAAGTCTACATATTAATATAAAATAATAGAAAAAATATATAGATCCATTTGAAGTGGTACATGACTAATGGTCGATTACGCTGACTTGGATTAAGGGAGACGTAGCAGGAAATGAAAGCTGATGCACGAGGAAAAGAAATTGGTAAAAAGTAAACAATAGACGATCGCTTTGAAAAATACAAGTCAACTGTGTAAGGAAAGTTCTCTACGTGCTAACACACGAAAGTTGTAAAGATAAACCGAAAAATGTTATTATGTATCAAAAACGTCAAGAATAAAATATACACTTCTTTGAAAGCGAAAAAAATTAAATAAAAATATACGAAACAAAGGTAAAAAGACGAGTGTACTAGGAACTTTGTTGATCTTAGCTTTCTTCCCATAAACAAGTAAATCAAATATCTATTTATCTGTCACAATCTGTCGGCGGTGTTAAGTGGTCACGGAAGGCATGGTGAGCGCCTTGGTCGATTTAGCACCTGCCGGATCTCAAACGCGACCTGAGGTCATCTGCTTGTTTTAAGTGTAAATGTTTGATCACAAAAGAAGAGCAGTGTAAAAAGAAACATAATAGTGCTTAAAAAAATGTGTAAAATTTCTTTCTTAATTCGATAAATTATTGCAAAAGTTCATAATTTGTACGGCTTAAGCAATTTATTGATCTGAGATTAATCGAGCAAGGGGCAGATCGATCCGTCTTGGATAAAGCTTAATAAAATAATGGAAGAAGCGCTTTCTCTTCAAGTTCCAGTCCGCTAGATATATTTTATGGACGGTTGGCGACTATCTCGAAAACGGCTTAAAGAAAATGACCCAATGAAAGATCTAAACAGTTTAAACTGTTAGCTTTGTCTGGGTGGTTGGCGAGTCACGTGAGAACCTACTCAAGACAACTTAAGCCTACTTAAGAAAAATATTAAGTTTTAGCAAACCGTTTTCTCTTATTATTTTCACAAGTATTAATTCTTTTGGTTTAGCCGTCTCCAATCATTATGATGTAAATGCTGATGTTCTTCTGACGACGAGCGAGACTAGGAGGATGAGGATCTTCACAAAACCGAACTATATTTATTTTTATATTCACTAATTGTCGTGGTCCGCTTGACCAATTAATATCTTCCAATTAATTAAGGTTTTTAGTTGAGATAAAAAAGTCAGTGTCACGAGCGGGATTCGAACCCACGACCTTCGGCTAGATACGCCGCTACTCTACCACTTGAGCTATCGTGACTTCGATCCACTCGGGCACCAACTTCCCATCTCAACCGCACGAATTTTCTCTCCTTTTGGCTTCATTTTTTATTTTTATAGTTATTATTTATATTTATAGTTAAATTTGAAAATGCAATAGTTTCGTACCATTTTTCACCTTCAACCTCACGAACTGTAGAGAACTAGAATGAGAAAAAAGCTCTTCTTCTTCCACTGGTTCTCAGTGCTCGTAATTTTGTTTGGATGGAATTAATATTTTTTATCTTGATCTTGTTCCAAATAACAACGTTTCTGTTCAAAACTATAAGATTTATTCTCAACAACTTGAAGAACGTTCAAGCCAAAATTACCCGCCTAGATCAACAAGAGCAAGGTTGGAACGACAGAGTCAGCACCATGCGTGAACAATCTTATACCCAGACCTGCGCCATTTGACGCGTCTTTACTGCTCTATAACATGTTTTTTTGTCAAGATTTTTAACACTAAAAGGATAAAAAAATAGCGTGAACAGAGAAACGACCAAACTTCAAGTTCAAGTTCATCGCCCTGCAGACATCAACGAAAAACCTCAAAATAGTGTAAAAGTGAGACAAATTATGCATAATAGATGCATCAGCCTGTTTATACCCAAATCTCGCGCCATCTGACGCGCCTTTACCGGTCTATAACACTTTTTTCAAGAGACTGTCCATTTTAAAAACCAAACGGATAAAAAAAACCCACGCAAAAAAAAAAACACGAATAAATAGCGTGAACGAGAAACGAGCAAACTAAGTTTGTCGTCCTAAAGACATCAACAAGAAACCTCAAAATAGTGTAAAAGTGATAAAAATTGTGCATAATAGTTTCATCAACATGTTCATACCCAGACCTCGNCTGTCCATTTTAAAAACTAAACGGATAAAAAACAAACCACGCAAAAAAACAAAAACCAAAAACGAATACATAGCGTGAACGAGAAACGAGCAAACTAACTTCATCGTCCTGCAGACATCAACATGAA